GAAAATATTTTTTTTCGAATATTATTTTGATGCTCTTTTAGCCTACAAAGAACTAATTAGTAGAATTCCATGGTGCTGTTGTCTGAATGTTTGTGTTCCCACAAAATTTATATGTTGAAATCTTGCCCCCCAGGGATGATGGTGTTAGGCGGTGGGGGCCTTTGGACCAGCAGGTGGGCCCTCAACAGAATACAACCGTGCTGGCTCCTTGATCTGGGACCTCCTACCTTCCCCAACTGTGAGAAATAAATTTCTGTTTTTATAAGCTACCCAGTCTGTGTTATTTTGTTATAGCAGCCTGAGACTAAGACACAGGGTCCTGTGGTATGTGAAATAGTAACCGTGCACATAATTTATCACAGGAAGTCAATCAGAACGTGTTCCTGTCCCGCTTTTCTGCATCATCTGTTCTGCCTTAGAGTGCATTGGCATTTGTTGTTACAGGCACTGTTATCATTTGAGGACGTGGCCGTGAGCTTCTCCCGGGAGGAGTGGCGGCTCCTGGTCCCTGCCCAGAAGGACCTGTACCGGGACGTGATGCTGGAGAACTACAGGAACCTGGTGTCAGTGGGTGAGGACAGCATCACAGTCAGTTGTCTTTCATTTCTCATTGAGTAGAACCCATAGTGTCTCTGAAATATCTCCTGGTTGGCACTAACATGTTGTAGGGTATAGACTTTATTTTCCCATTTGGCCATAGAGTGTATATGCCCTCCCTTCCCCCAGGAAAAAGATTTTACTTTACTGAAGTACAAATGATGCATCAACTTTCTCCGGTTTTTGTAGGTGCCCAAGCTAAAATACTTGGTGCCAAGTCTTCAGTGATTTCCCATTTTACAGGATACCAAGCCAGCGAACCAGATTCACTCTTCCAGTTGGAGCATGGAGGACCACTGTGGGTAGTAGAGGGAGCAGCTCCGAGGCCACCCTGTCCAGGTGAGTGACTGAAAGGAAAACCAAGAAAACTAGAATTCCAGTCGGTCAAGGAAAGGTTAACACTTTGTTGTGTGGAGAGCTTTTCTTATACCAGTTGGTGACACAAATATAATCAACTCCTTTCTGTATCTTTGTCCTTTATTAGGGCTGTTCTTTGTCAGCTATTAAAGGATGAGGTTTTCCCGCCACCCCGTTTTTTTTTTTTTTTTTTTTTTCTCATTTCTAGATCTGATTACAGTCTGTCCCACCTTGGATCCATATACTTACCTGGTTCTCTCCTGCCTCAGCTTTGCACACCTTCTTCCTTATTTATTTATTTATATGTATTTGTTTATAGAGGTCGCCCAGGAGTGGGGGAGGGACAGAGGGAGAGGGAAAGAGAGAATATCAAGCAGGCTCTGCACTGTCAGTGAGGGGCCCGATTCAGGGCTCGAACTCATGAACTATGAGATCATGACCTGAGCCGAAATCAAGAGTCAGATGCTTAATTGACTGAGCCCCCCAGGCGCCCCTCCCTTTCTTTTTCTGCAGCGTTCCCACTTCCTCTTCTCCACCTGCTTGCTCTCAAACAGATGGCTTTGCACTTGGCCCAGCTCTCATCTTCTGTACATCCCTGCCCCTTTTGAAAGGGCTGATATCCCTCCCTGACAACTCACGTCCCCTGAGGTCATCTGAAACCACACGTACCTTGTCTCTCAGGGTACCTCTATCTATTTCTTCACCCTCTGCTTCCCCAACTTGCAGGTTCTGTTGTTTTTTTTTAAATCTTCTGCTTGATTCTCATATTAAAAGTTTCATTCATTGTCAAGGCCTAAGCTCCTGTTCTGAGAGAGTCCCAGGTTGGGAGAGTCCCAAATTGACCTCTTCTGCTAACGTCTAATCTGCACTGTAATGCAGGTACGTTGCCAGCCACCAGGACAGCTGCCCTTTGACGTCCTACTCCCCATATGCGAAACCAGAGTCCTCCTTTCTCCCAGATGATGTCTTCGCCATCATAGAGCGTATTCATATATACTGACGAGCTAAGCTTTCTGTAGTCTGACAGTTATTTCCAAGTGGACACCTGCCCTTCTGTAGTCTGATCTGACCTCTAATTCTCTATTTTGCCTGCACCCAGGCAAATTATCCTGTGAAATCCTTTTTCCGTCTGCTTCAGTGCCGGAACCTGAGATCATTTTTCCTCCTGGTGAATCCTTTCATTCCTAGTGCATTTTACTTAGTTTCTGCTGTACTGCTGTTAACACTGGTGCCTGGTCACCGGTGAGTTTTGCCTTGAGTGTTCCGTATTTCTCTATTACTTTTTGGAAGGTCTTTGCTGTTTGTATTAAATTTGTTGTTTTGGGGTGCTTGGCTGGCTCAGTCAGTGGAGCATGCGACTCTTGATCTCGGGGTTGTGAGTTCGAGCCCCGCATTGAGTGTAGAGATTACTTAAAAATACAATCTTTAAAAAAGCTCTTTTTGTTGTTTTGGAAAGGCCTTTGGAAATTGCATGCACATGCTCAATTCCCACCTCAGAGTAGGCTGTGATCATTTAGACTTGGATTGCTGAGTTGCTACACTCACCCCCACACTGGCTGTTTCCAGTTTTTGGTTTGTCCCTTTTTTTTCTTTTCTTATGAGAGAGAGAGTATGAAGGGGAAAGGGGGGCAGAAGGAGAGGGTGAGAGAGAATCGTAAGCAGGCTCCACACCCAGCACAGAGCCTGACATGTGGCTTGATCTCATGACTGTGAGATCATGACCTGAGACAAAATCAGGAGTCAGACACTTAACCGACTGAGCCACCCAGGCACCCCCAGTTAGTCCCTTTTAATGGTATGGCTGCATTCCTTTGTGGGCAGGGGGCATTAAAGCTGTGAAACTTAATGAGAAAACATGAAAGTGAGAATCGGTTAAAAAAAAAAAAAAAAGGCCCACATATATTTAGAAGTTGAGAAGATAAGAACCCAGCCAGGTAGAGTGAGAAGTATCAGGGCTCTGGGAGGAGGAGAGTCAGAAGATGTCCCAGAAACAAGCCACAAACTTATTCCGGGGAGGCAGAAGTGATACAGTTTATTGAATGCCACAGATACCACAATGTCCAGTGAACTAACGGCTGGCATCTATGCATTTGATCGTGTTGCATTTTTATGTCCAGATACTGCCTTCTTTTTATCTCCCCAAAGTTCCAGTGCACACTTGGAACTCCCATCGTCCCTAATGTCTCTGTACTCTGTCTAAACTGCACTGACTTCAGTCATGATCGACAGGTGTTATTGTATTGCTTCGCTGGTTAGGATGAGGCTTCCTTTTCCATACAGAGAAAGGGTCTCTATCTCACTCTTCCTTACTGCGTACAGATTGCATAATCATTCACGTGCATCTGTTCATCACATCTTGAAAACAGGTCTTGCTTCGGTTTTTTGTTTGTTTTGTTTTTAAATCAGGGATCTGTGTAAACTGTGTGGGAAGTTTTTCAAACCACAGACTTTGTCTGTTAAGATTTATCTTCTGATCTACTAGGTATGGGGAGGGTCCTGAGCAAATGAGGTTGGAAATGCTCGCTAGGCCAGCTGTGCTTTGATCCCTGTAGTAGAACTGCCACCCAAATACAGCTCCAAAAGGTTCAAATGTAATGAAGGACAGAAATACCTTCCAAGTGTCCAAAGTCCTCAGTTGCGAAGGGTTGACAGAGATGCCTGAAATTCTAAAATTGTTAGCATTTGATTATGAGGCATAGAAAGGACTGTTTTTGTAAAGTTAGAGAAAATTGAGCTTTGATAATGTGTTACAGAAAGAATGAAGTACTTTTTGGAAGCATGATAATATAATTTCTGCAAGAAAGATGTTAGAGTTTCAAATAAAAATGATGATGGAAGGCCTGTGGGTCAGTAAAAAGATTTTGGAGATGGAAATGAGGAAGGCAATTGAGAGATGAGACTATGTGAAAGGAAATGGCTGATTACTGTGGATTTTATGTTAATAATTGGCTTAGAAAGTGTGACTTTGGTTCTGTCTGAGCTTTTTTTTTGCTATTTCTAGAGAGTCTTGCTTGATAGATAGCTGGGTAGTAGCATTGGAACAATAAGAAGTTAGAGCTTGGAGCTATAGAATAAGTGGAAGATAAGGCAGGTCAATGTTTTGTTCCTGGATAGAGGATGATTCTTCAGAATCTCTTAACTGGTGCCAGAGAGGAGATAGGAACAGAGATTAAGGAAGAATGTAGCATTAGTTGAAAGGAAAAAATTGGGGGATGAGTCTATCAAGTAGATTATAATGGCAAATATGGATATTATGGTATATACGGATGTGATGGTCTATACTGTGCCATCCATTGTGTTGGCCACTGGTCACATGTGGCTACTTAAATTTATTTAACATTACGTAAAGTTACAAATTCAGTTCTCCTGTCACTCTGGTCACCCACATTCAGGTGCCCAATAGCCACACACAGCTAGTGGGTACCATATTAGAAAACACAGATATAAAACATTCCCATTGTTGCAGAAGATTTTATTGAATAGCACAGTACACAGTTGCAGTATGATGAAACTGAGGAGAAGCTGATGTTTCCACCAGTTAGGACAGCTATACTCTTCTCTGGGGCAAGAGCGGATGGCCCAAGGACCTATTTTTAAATTCCAGGTGGACATATATGTGTCTGGATATATTGGACTGAGGGAGGTTGTATCGTTTTTACATAGAAAGTTGAAGTATTGGCTACTGTACTACTCTAAATAGGTAATTGGTGTTATTATAAAAGTTTAGTTTTGATGTGCAGGTGGAATGAGAGGGGAAAGGTTTAGTAACAAGGGATTATTGACTATTTTGCCTCAATAATCTTGGAATAAGATTCCGTAGATCCTGCATTCTGATTTTCCAATTTCAGCCCTTTCTTATGAAAACCTCCATTGTTTATATGTTTGGTCAGCATTTGTTTGATGTTTCTGGATGGGATTTTCATATTCTCTTTGCATATCACTCTCCCAAAATTCTTAAGACTTGGAATCCATGAAATTCTTGTCCAGGGCCTTCCCCTTTCTCTGTCCATTACCTCATCTGGTTCTGTGTAGTCCAAATGTTTAAGTACTGTTTATATACTCAACTTAAAATTGTTATCTGAAGTCTGGAACTTTCTCCACACTCCTAGATCTAACCGGATACTTCATATGTGTTCTTGAATGTTTATCTCAGACCTGATGCATTCCTCAAAACGGAACGCTTGATTCCCCACACATACCAAACCTAACTCCCTGATTTTCCTCATTGTATTAAATGGCACCAGCACCCTACACAAATGCTTAAGCCACATATCGAGGAGCTATCCTCAGTGATTCCCTTTTCTTCTTCTAGCACTCATTCTTGACTGAGCCTTCTCTTTTCCTCCTGTCACTCTTTCCCTTCTCTGTACTATGTCCTTGTTTTTGTACATTTCTCTAACTCCATTGTAGTCAGTCACACTGAAGCTGCTGTTTGTTACCTCTTTTGAGCGGGGGAGAGGCAGAGAGAGTCTGGGAGAGAAAGAATCCCAAGCAGGCTCCACACTCAGCACAGATCCCGGCACAGGACTCAGTCTCACAACCGTAAGATCACGACCTGAGCCAATATCGAGTTGGACGCTTAACCTACTGAACCATCCAGGTTCCCCAGAAGGTGCTGTTACCTCTTGCCTGAACTCTGCTGTAGATTCTTGTGTATTCTCTCAATATTTTCACCTCTCCAGTTCATTCTTCATGCAACAGCCATGTGGCATTTGGAAATACCAATTCAGAATGGGTTGTATTCCTGCCAGAAAATGTTTGGTGGCTTCTGGCCATCGCTCTTATCATAAAGTCCAGCTTTTTTTAACTTTTTTTTTTTTTTTTAATTTTTTTTTTCAACGTTTATTTATTTTTGGGACAGAGAGAGACAGAGCATGAACGGGGGAGGGGCAGAGACAGAGGGAGACACAGAATCGGAAACAGGCTCCAGGCTCTGAGCCATCAGCCCAGAGCCCGACGCGGGGCTCGAACTCACGGACCGCGAGATCGTGACCTGGCTGAAGTCGGACGCTTAACCGACTGCGCCACCCAGGCGCCCCTTAACTTTTTTTTTTAATGTTTATTTGTTGTGTGAGAGAGAGAGAGCACACATGTGCATGCAAGCAGGGGAGGGGCAGAGAGAGGGGGAGATAGAATTCCAGGCGGGCTGCGTGTTGTCAAGTGCAGAGCCCAATGCGGGGTCTTGAACCCATGAACCTTGAGATCACGACCTGAGCCAAAATCAAGAGTTGGATGCTTAACCAAATGAGCCACCACCCAGGCACCCCAATAGAAAATCCAGTTTCTAACAAAGTCTCCCTACATCATCTATATGGTCTCAGTTCTGCCTCCCTTTCCAAACTTACCTGTTTCTACTTCACTCAAGCCAAGGATATAGTCGAGGTGCACCAGCCTCTCTTATGTTTCTTGATCATGCCTAAGTTTTTCTGCTTCTGAGTTTTTTTGCATTGGTTGTTCCTTTTTGGAATGTTATTCATCGAGTTATCTGTATAACACCGCTCATTCTTACCCTGTGATGTCACCTTAACTTCCTTGTCTCATGGATGATTATTTTATCTAACACTAACCTACTACTACTCTGTCAGCTTCTTCATACACACTGTTTTGCACGTTCTGTAATTTTTTTATTTCTTTGGTTACTTATTGATCCTCCCTTCCCCCCATCTTTTTCTCTGTCTGGTTATTAGAATGACAGCTCCACAGAGACAGAATATATAAGTTACCTTAGTGTGACCGATATATTGTAATTCTAATATTCAAACATAGTATGGTAATGTTCTAATATATTCTAATGTATTCCCAAACACCAGCGCATTCAGTGTTTGTTGGATGAAAGGATCCATCCCCTCCATCTTTTGTTCTGTTCCAGTCACAGTGTGGTTCTGTTTTTACTTGTCTCCATTTTGCAAGGTCCTATTTGGAGAGAAGCCTAAGTTATATTTATTCATTGTAGACTATCCATTGTTGTTTCTAAAGTATGTGTTTTTCCTTTTGCTGTTTTATAGTGTTGTCTTTTTCTCACAGAGCACAGGGTACATTTCTCTTAGACTTCGATCTTAGAGCTAGCCCAAACCATGGCTTTTTTTTTTTTTAACCTTCTTTTCCCCCTAAAATTATCATGGATGTTTTCATTGTTCTTTTTCCTAGAAGAAATATGGGAGATTGACCATATGCAGTGGCACCCAGAAAACCAAAACGAGATTAAAACTTTGGAAAGATGTCAGCAAAATTATGCACTTGGAAATAATTTCAATTTATGCAAAAGTCTTGTTCCTTTAACACAAAGACACAATAAATTTGGTTCACATTGTAAAGGCTTAAAATCACATTTAGGTTTTGTTCTCCAGAATAGAAGATATGCAGGAGAAGATCCTGATGAGTTTAGTGGATATGGGAAATCCTCTGTCTGCATCCAACAGGATACAACTCTTACTGGAATTAAATGCACTAAATCACAGCTCGGTGAACATCAAAAAACTTACGCAGAAGAGAAACCACATGAATGCAGTGAGTGCGGTAAGGTCTTCTCCAGGAAGGCACAGCTCATTAGACATCAGAGAACTGAAAGGGGAGAAAAGCCCCATGGATGCAGTGAATGTGGGAAGACATTCATGAGGAAGATTCAGCTCACTGAACACCAGAGAATTCATACTGGAGAGAAGCCCCATGAATGTAATGAATGTGGAAAAGCGTTCTCTAGGAAGTCACAGCTTATGGTACATCAGAGAACCCACACAGGAGAGAAACCCTATGGATGCAGTGAATGTGGAAAAGCCTTCAGCAGGAAGTGCCGGCTCAATAGACACCAGCGATCTCACACTGGAGAGAAACTCTATGGATGCAGCGTGTGTGGGAAGGCCTTTTCCCAGAAGGCATACCTCATTGCACATCAGAGACTTCACACAGGAGAGAAGCCTTACGAGTGCAGTGAATGTGGAAGAACTTTCTTTTTTAAGTCAGACCTGACCAAGCATCAGAGAATTCATACAGGAGAGAAACCTTATGAATGCAGTGAGTGCGAAAAAGCCTTCAGGAGCAAGTCAAAGCTCATTCAGCATCAGCGAACTCATACTGGAGAGAGGCCGTATGCATGCAGTGAATGTGGCAAAGCCTTTGCCCACATGTCAGTCCTCATGAAACATAAGAAAACTCATGCAAGAGAGAAAACTATAAATTCACTGAAAGTGGAGAAACCTTCCTCAGGGAGTCATAGCTCTTTATACGTGAGTCAACTTGCCCAGGAGCAAAACCAGATGAACACGGTGCCTGTGGAAATACCTTCTTCGAGAACTCAGCCCTTGTTAAACCTCAGTGAGCTCCTTGGGGGTAGAAATGTAGTGTTTGTGGAACAGTCTTTTCTAAGAAGTCAGGCCTCAGTAAGTAATCTGGAATTTGCACAGGGAATATGTCTTGCAAATGCAGTGAATGTGACCACACCTTCTGTAATAAATTATGTTTTATATGTTGCAGACATTGTGTAAGAAAGAACATCCTCTGGTACCAGGATCTATCTGATACTAGAAAAGCCGTTAGCAAGAATCCTCCACACATTCTATGTGAGAGCTCATTTGGGGCAGAAATGCTATGGAGGCAGCGGTGGTGGAGGCTACGTCTGTGAGAATTCAGACTTATTAAATATCCATGAAAGCCCAGTCCACAGAAATGCAGCTATTGTGGGGAACCCGTTTCCTGGAGATGAGTATCTCCATTGCTATCAAAGAATTCCCACAGGACCAGAACACGAGGAAAGAATGTGATGATGTTTTCAATGATAAGTTGTACCTAATCACATGCCAGAGAAGTGTAGAAAGATATTAGAGACACTGAATACAGACAGCATTTTTAGTAAAATGTGGAAGAACTCATAGGAAAGAGAGACCCCTGAATGCAATAAAAGATGGAAATTCTATCACCAAACTAACTAATGTGTCACAATTTTATACCTTGGGAATGAATCTGGGAAAGACTTCTCTAATAAATGAAATCTTGGGCACCAGGAATTGCGTTATGTAGCAAAAACCTATGAATATGATGAATGTGGAGATACGAGTGTATTAGTTTCTTATCGCTGCTGTAACAAATTACCATAAATTTGTTGGCTTAAAATAACAGAGATGTATTATCTTATAGTTCTGGAGGTCTGAAGTCTGAAATGCATCTCACTGGGCTCAGAGCAAGGGGTTGGCAGGACTGCATTTCTTTCTGGAGGCTCCAGGGAGAACCTGTTCTCTTTGTCCTTCCAGTTTCTAGAAGCTGCCCAAATCTGTGGCTTGCAGGTCCCTTCCACCTCAAAGCCAGCAATGGCCAGTCAACTCCTCCATCACTCTGGCACTGCCTCCTGCCTCCCTCTCCCACATTTAAGGACCTGTGTGACTACATTGGGCCCACCCAGATAATCCAGGATAACCTTCCTATTTAAAATCAGCTAATTAGCAACCTTAACTCCACCTAACTACCTTGATTCTCCCTTGCCTTGTTCTCTGACATATTCACAGGGCCTGGAGATTAAGATGTGGATATCTTTGGGGGGGCCATTATCCTGCCTATTGCAGACCACCATCTGGCACCCAGTGATTTGTGTCCATACCACATGGAAAATACATTCGCTCTATCCCAGCACCTCCAAATGTCGCAAACTGTTAACAGCACCAACTCAAAGTCCAAAAATCCCACCCAAATCTTATCAGCTCAGAAGCTCTAAATCAAGCATTGGGTGAGGCTCTGCGTACAGATTGTCCTGAGGCACAATTCCTCTCTTGACTGTGAGCCCGTGAAACTCCAGAAATGAGTCACATGGCCCTAAAATACCCAATTGCGTCTTTTACTTCAAATGCCCTGTGCCCTGTAGGGTAACGTATTTACAGGTTCTGGGGATTAGGACATGAATGTCTTTGGGAGATCATTTTGTCTACCACAAAAACATTACATTTCAGAGAATTCATACTACAGTAAATTCCTACCTAGCCATTAAATAAATGTAGAGAAGCATGTTCTCAGAGAAGTAATTGTCTTTAGTTATCATGGTCCAAATACAGTAACTTTTTTCCCTGAAATCAAGGAATCTTACACTTGTGTCATTAGATGTGATCACCATGGAATGCTCTTGAAATATGTAAATCAAGTGATACACTGGAGAAGAACTAAATGTTTTAAAGGAACATGAGATTTATGTGCTGCAGATGTTGCCAAACGTATGTTTGTATCTATTCTGAAATTGTATAAATTATCCCGTTCTGAGTATGGTACTCCATACCACACCTAAGTGTGAGAATTTTTCACAGCCAATTCCAACAGCCCTTTTTCTCTAACAGTAAATGTTTAATGTATATACCCTCATTAAATAATGAAAAATACAGAAATGGACTGAAATGGACTGTAATACAGAACGGAAAATAATAGAAAAATACAGGAATGGACTGCAGACATAGGGTAATAGGGACATCGGGACAGCTATCTCTCAGAGAAAGGAAACAAATGAAGGAAGCCTTACGATTGCCCCCAGCTTATAGCCTGGAGAGAGTTTCCATTCTGCAGCATAGGGAGAGGGAATCTAATCAGATCCTGGCAGTCTGTGAACTGAGACAGTTTAGAGTTCGGGGAATTCAAAGCGACTCAAGTTCATGGGGCAGATCACAGGAGAGGACAGAGCTGCACCCAGGGTGAGAGAGTTCCCCCATATGATTTTCAGTTGTGAGCAGCACATATGTGCGGAAACTCCCAGGGCTGGAGAAAGAACCACTGGAAATGAACAGGCAGAACCATCCTTGGAGGTTGCACATGTGGGGAATAATTTGTGTTTCCACCAGCTGGAATGGAAACCCCTCCTAACATCGGGAGAATCACAGTGGGACTTCAGAAAAATAGTGACTCTACTGGGTGATTCATGTTGGCTCTAGACTAAAGGCTGCTCTGAACCCTCCTGACAAAGTAGAAAGGCAAGCGGCTACCAACGCAGACTGTTTCCAAGTAATTTAACTCCTTCCCAGACCAAAGCCCAGTGGTATTTAAAGAATAGAAAGGAATCCCATCGACCAACAATGTCAAACTCAGTGTCTGGCATCTAGTCAAAACCTACCCAGGGATGCAAATAAAAACAAAAACAAAAACAGGAAAACAGGACCTGTAAACGTGAAGAAAAGTCAATAGAGACCCAGAATTGGCATGGGTGACAGAATTAACAGAAAATGATGTTAAAAACAGCCATTGTAAGTGTTCTGTGTGCTCGAGAAAGCGGTGTCAAGTGGATTATAAGAATTATAATTTCCTGGGGTTTCTCTCCACGGGAGCAAAGGGATAGATGAGGCCCAGTCTAGTCACTGGAGCCCCTAACCCCAGGTTGTTGAGCCTCCCAGGAAGAGGCCAGAAGATCATTTCCATCAGTGAGGACCAGGTCCTGTGAGGAGGAGACCCAGACCCAGCTGAAGTTGGGGAGTGTAGTTTCGTGTCCGTCTAGTCCGTCTTTGGTTTTTGTGGGAACTGAGGCACCTGTGCACGGCCACAGGTTTCTGGAAAGTGTGGTTTGGGGTGCATGGTCTTCCTAGTTGCGGGCTGGTGCTTCTTGGCTGTTTGGCTGCCACGGGGGTTCTCGCACATGTAGTTCGTCTGCCTTTGTCTGTTTTTCTTCACATGAGAATCTGGCCTGGGTCCAAGCGGTTGTTGAAGAGGGTGCCTGTCAGAACCTTATCAAAGACCACTGGGGCTTCTGTATGCAGCATGTGAGGGAACTGGCTTTCCATGGGTCAGTTCCAAACTCATCCTGTGGCTCAGCTTGGGCAAGGTCAGATCTTGGCAGGTCTGTCCTGCTGTATGGCTGGGGTAAGAGATGGCACTAGACAGCTCCTTTGTTGTGTGGGAGGCATTCGCCCTTGTTCCTCCGGGTTCTAGGTGACTAGATGGACCCCGTGTTGGGAGCTTGGGAGGGGAATTTGATTGTGGGCCCTACTGAACCTTACTATACCTTCTATCCCACCCCTTCCCCTCCTGGTCCCCAGAAAAACTTGGAGTGTCTTTGTGTTCTGTGGGGTGTCTTGTCCTGGCCTCCTCTTACCCGCTGTGTCACCACGAACAAAAAACTTCTAGAACAGTGTCTGCCATGCAGTGCCTTGAGGACTAAGCAAGCAACTTGCAAATAGTATTCTTATGAATGAGATGATTTAGGCAGAAAGAAATTTGATTTACACACTTTAGAACATACAACAATCTGTACACATTTATAGATTCTACCTACTTTGTCTTGATTTCCAGCCTAGAGCTTCAGTCTCTAGATTTCAGAACCTGCCAGACCTCAGAGGAGAAGTCCAGAATCGGCTACCCCACAACAAGTTGTCTGGTGCTGGTTTGGTACAGGGGAGGATTTACTCCAGGTTTGCCCTTTTCTGTGTTTGTAGGTTTGTTTTAGGGGTGAAGGTAGAAGACTAGAGATTCCTAGTTGGTGTGTGGGCTGATTAGTCCCCTGTCTGAGGCTGTCTTCCTAACCTTAGCTTTGTGCTTTTGAGGGTTCATCCTTCGTGAAAAGAGGGGAGTTGAGTAATTGTCAAAACCCTAAAAGCTAGCCTCTCATTGAAATGTCTCCTTTAGGGGCGCCTGGGTGGTTCAGTCTGTTAAGCGGCCGACTTCGGCTCAGGTCATGACCTCGTGGTTTGTGGGTTTGAGCCCTGCGTCGGGCTCTATGCTGACAGCCTGGAGCCTGCTTCAAATTCTATGTGTGTGTCTCTCTCTATTCTTCCCCTGCTCGCGCTCTGTCTCTCTCTGTCTCTCTCCCTCTCAAAAATAAATAAACATTTTTAAAAAATGGCTCCTTTATCCTTGGTCAGCGCTCTCTTGTCAGATGTTCAGAACCAGAAAAGACAATTGACTAAAAATGCTGGCCATTTCCTAAGAACAGAAGAAAACTTGAAGGTCCTGGTGGGTTTTTGTTTGTTTCTGTGTTTTGCCTTCATTCTCATGGGTTTGCAGAGGCATGTAAAAATAATTATCAAATGGAAACATACGCTTTCCTAAATTCAGAATTTAAGGAAAAATAAGCCATAACATTAAGATTAGGACAAAGGTAGAATAGGGAAATGTAGACCATAGAGTTCACTTAAAGGAATACTGGTGAATAGATATGTAAGAATGTATGATGTATGTAAGTTGAATTACAAATACTTTTTAAGATTTTATTTTTAAGTAGTCTCCATGCTCAACGTGGGGCTCAGACTCAACCCCAGGATCAAGAGTCTCACACTCTACTGACTGAGCCAGCCAGGTGCCCCAAATTACAAATACTTTCTAATGTTTCCATTATCAATAACGTGTTAGTTTTCTCTTGCCCAAAAAATTCTCACAAACTTTTATAATGCAAATTTATTATCCCACAGAGGTTTGGATTGGCTTGGCTAATTTCTTTGCCCTGAATTCCATAAGACTGAAATCAAGGTGTGGACCCACAGGGCTTTTTAAAAAATGTATGTATGTATTTATTTATTTATTTATTTATTTATTTATTTATTTATTTATTTTTGAGGGAGAGAGAGAGAGAGAGAGCAAGAGAGAGAGAGCAAGCGGGGGAAGGGCAGAGAAAGAGGGAGACACAGAATCTGAAGCAGGCTTCAGGCTCTGAGCTGTCAGCACAGAGCCCAATGCAGGGCTTGAACTCATGAACCGTGAAATCATGACCTGAGCTGAAACCAAGAGTCAGATGCCTGACCAACTAAGCCACCCAGCCACCCCGACATTTTATCTTGTGAATTTGGTAGATTCACTCATAAATTTTGTAGTTTCTGTAGGCTTTCTTGGGTTTTCTTTATACAGAGTCCTGTTGTCTGCAAATAACAACAATATTCTTTTCTGATATTTAAGCCTATTATTTTTCATGTCTTATTGCGCTGTGAGACCCTCTAGTATGATGTAGAGTATGGGAGTGAACATTTTGTCTCATTCTCAGTCTTAAAGGAAAAGTGCATTTTGCACATGGAATGGTTGTGAATTTTGGTGCCTCAAGGACAGACTGTGCTGGGTTGAATGGTATGTCTTGTTTTTATTATTGTTGTTGATTTTATTGTTATTATTTTAGTGGTAGCTATAGAGCTCACAGTGTGACATCTTTTAATTCATCAAGGTTGACTTAGAATTGATATTGTGCCGTTTTACACTATTCATTTCACACATGACACCTTACCTTTCCTACTTCACACTTGTAATTCACACATTCTACATCACACTTCCAAAAATGTAATAACCTAAGGGCCATATAATTCCTTTTAGGGCCACACCTTGTCTTTTGAGCTATTATTGTCCCACTTTTTAGTTTTTTATTGTTATAAGCCCACCTTACAGTGTTATTTATTTTGTACTAAGGCAATAAAGGGTGAGATAGTAAATATTTTCAGCTTTGCTGGCTATACAGTATCACATCGTTCAGTGATCTCTTCTAGAGCAAAAGCATTCAGAGATATGTAAACAAATGGATGTGGCTATGTTCCAATAAAACTTAATTTACAGAAGTAGTCAGGGAGCTGAATTTGGCCCATGGACCTCGCTTCTAAACAATTCACCCTTTAAGGAAAATGAGAAGAATATCTTATTATTTACCATATCTGGTGTTGACTACTTTCTACTGATCGGAGTTTTCAACTAGAAAACTTTGTTTCAGCCTGAAAACATCCTTTAGGATTTCATTTGTGCAGATCTTTCAGCAGTGAATTCTCTCAGATTTTGCTTATTTAAAAACGTATCTCCAGTGGCTCTGTGGTGTAATGTGTAGTGCATTGGACTTCTAGTGACGAAAATGTCTTTATTTCACACTGCTTTTAAAATAATATTTTCCCTGAGGATAGAATTCTGGGTTAACAGTGCTTGTTTGTTTGTTTGTTTGTTTATTGGTCACTTTAAAGATGTGATTAAAGTATCTTCTGACCTCCCAGAATTGTTTCTGGTTAGAAGTCAGCAATCATTCCTATCACTATTTCCCAGTATATAATGTGCCTTTCCCCCCCTCTGACTCTTTTCAAGATTTAGTTTTTATCTTTGGTTTTCAGCAGCTTCAGTATGATGTGCCTGAAATGTGCTTTGTCATTAAAAGATATCATATTTTCCTTTTAATGTCTTTAGGATTAGTAGTGTTGATTAATTTTTCATCACTTTGTTTTAGTTTCTCTTCTCTCCTTTTTGTTAATCAGTCTCCCTATGGCTTTACCAATTTTAGTAATCTTTTCAATTTTCTTGTTTATCAGTTTCCTATTCATTTGTTTTTAGCGTGTTTAGTTTGTT